AGTGCTGTGTCTGTGTGTGGTATGTGCATTTGTGGGTGTGTGCATGTATATGCAAGTGCTGTGTCTGTGTGTGGTATGTGCATTTGTGGGTGTGTTCATGTATATGCAAGTGCTGTGTCTGTGTGTGGTATGTGCATTTGTGGGTGTGTTCATGTATATGCAAGTGCTGTGTCTGTGTGTGGTATGTGCAAGTGCCTGTGGAGTGCAGAGGTGTTACACCCCCCTGGAGCTGGAGTTACAGGTGGTTTTGAGCCACCCGACTTGGGCTCTGGAAACTGAACTCTGGTCCTCTGCAGGAGCAATCCTGGCTTTTAACTGCTAAGCCAGCTTTCCAGCCCTCTCAATGCTTGCTTCAGGATTATTATTATTTTGAGACAGGGTCTCTCTACATGGCCCTGGCTGTCCTGGAACTCACTGTGCAGACTAGGGTGGCCTTGAACTCAGAGATTGGCCTGTCTCAGCTTCCCAAGTGCTGAGATTAAAGGTGTACGCCGTTACACCTCACCTGTTTCAGGAACTTAAACAACGTTAATCAGGAAGTCTGGTGCCAGAATAATATAGACACAAACTTCTAGAGGGAGATTCACCAGTCCCTGGAGGAATTTCTATGTACTACAAGGTTTAGAGCCCATGATACATGTGATGCTTTCATGGCCTGTTGCAGTCCAGAAAATGACAGTACCTCATCCTGCTTGTGTGTTGAGGGATTTGAATGTGATGTCAGCTTGAAATCTGTTAGCTTTCTGTAGAAAGCAACAGCATGATTGAACTTTCTGACACAGGTAGAATATTAATCATAAAGAGCAAAACAGTATATTACAGTCTGGTAAGATGAATGCAGGGATGCACAAAGAGCAGCAAGCAGTAGAGTGGAGAGTTACAGCTAGTGAATGACTCACACCGGAGGAGAGATGAGGAGAGGGACAAATTATGGAGGTAGTCTGGAATAGCAAAAGCATACTGCACAGAGGGAAATGATAGCTTCTGGTTCGTGTTGTTTCACCCATTTCCCCATTCTGTAGACTAACTTTGGAGAAACCTCTGCAGTGTGTGAGGATAAGTGGGTAGCGGGTTTTGTGTGCCTAGGAATTCTAGAAGACAAGAGGACAAGACGGCCAGTGGAAGATGGCTTTCTTTCTGCCTCTAGTAAACTCTTTTGTGGAGCCACTGCCCAGGTCGTCGTCTTTGTTAATTTTGGGGGAGGGAGAGAGCCTTTTTTGCTAATTTATATTTTATCTTTCTGTTAAATTCTCCTAAGAGTAGTAGCCTCATCTGTCACTATAGTCTCCCTTACTAGTCTCAATACCTAGATAGTAACAGGCATAAAGCATATGTCATGAATATTGAATTAATGCATTTAAAAATTGATCAGTTAGCAGGGCAGTGGTGACGCACTTAATCCCTGCACTTGGGAGGCAGAGGCAGGTGGATTTCTGTGAGTTAGAGGCCAGCCTGTTATACAGAGCAAGTTCCAGGACATCCAGAGTGGTTACATAGAGAAACCCTGTGGTGAAGAACCCACCCCCACCCCCCTAACAAAAGAAAAAAAGAAAAAAGAAAAAATGGTGTTAATTCTAGAAGTATGTGTTGGATCAGGTAAGTGCACAGTTTCATACAAAGTAGCCCCAAACTCCAGGTGTTTTACAGACTAGGGAATTGACATGTCTAGTTTTTGTTTGCCTTTATTCATTTTAAGAATTAAGCATTTCCTTTTGTCTTTTATTGTTTGATTATGGAATATCTGGGAAGGAAACAAGCCTCAGTATTTAAATGCAAATCTCTTTTAAAAAACAGAACTACCAATGAAATAAAAAACCTGCAGTATCTACCTCGGACCAGTGAGCCTCGGGAGATGCTGTTTGAAGACAGGACGAGAGCCCATGCGGATCACATAGGACAAGGCTTTGAGCGACAGACTACAGCTGCTGTCGGAGTGCTGAAGGCTGTGCACTGTGGACAGCGGTACATAGAACTACTGTTGTTGTTTTTTAAGATTTATTTTCTGTGCCTGAGTATTTTACCTGAACACCACGTGTGCAGTGCCTGCTGAGGCCAGAAGAGGGCATCCGATGCCCTGGAACTGGAGTAACAATTGTGAGTTGTCCCATGGGTGTTGGAGATGGACCTGAGTCCTCTGGAAGAACAGCCAGTGAGTGCTCTTCACTACTGAACTGCTGCTGCTCCTGCCCCCACTGTTGAGTTTTTGTTGGCCATGGCTGTGCTGGAGCTTGAACCCAGGTTCTTGCTCATACTAACTACTGTTATTTGATTATTTTTTTCTTTTGTGGTTTTTGAGACAGTATATTACTATGTAGCTAGCCTTACTATGTGTGACTGTCCTAAAACTTACTATGTAGATCAAGCTAGCTTCAAACTCACAGAGATCCACCTGCCTCTGCCTTCCAAGTGCTGGAATTAAAGGCATATGTCATTTAAAACCTTTATTGGGCCACACAGTGGTGGTGCAAACCTTCAAGAAAAATTGAACTGCATTTTAAAATGAGATATTTAGTTTTTATGGTTTGTATAATTTACTGATAATTATGACAACGATACTAAAGTAAAGAAAGTTGTTACTCTGTTTAGGTTGGAACTCATGGTGTAAACTCTGGATTTAAATATATAAAGTAGTTCTTTTTATTTGTAAGAAGATTTTGGTGTTGATGATAAACCATTTTATTTGAGTTTATTAAGGACTTAGCAGAATGAAACATTAATGGAAAATTCCTGTATTATCACCCTCCTCCTTTACAGGCCTGACCAGCCCCGAATAACCAAAGATGTAATCTGTTTTCATGCAGAAGACTTCTTAGAAGTAGTTCAACGAATGCAGTTAGATTTACATGAGCCTCCCCTGTCCCAGGTAAAACTTAAGTAATTATCATTTTTCATTTAGATTTTGTTGTGCAAAAGACTTACCTGTATTCTTGTTTTGCTTTGTGTTGTTTTTTAGTGTGTCCAGTGGGTTGATGATGCAAAACTTAATCAGTTGAGGAGAGAAGGCATTCGCTATGCCAGGATTCAGCTGTATGATAATGACATTTATTTTATTCCGAGGAATGTTGTTCATCAGTTCAAGACAGTTTCTGCTGTATGCAGTTTGGCATGGCATGTTCGACTTAAGTTATATCACGCAGAGGAGGACACCTGTCACAGTGCAGTTACTCATGAAACATGTGTATCATCCGCTTCCACATCATCAGTCCTCGGACCTCACACTGACAACATAATTTGTGCTGTGAACCAAACCTCATCAGATTCTGTGTTTTCAGACAAACTTCATCCTAAGTACGAATTACAACAGACTAAACATGAACCTATTGCGTCTACAAGAATCAAGGAAGAACCTGTGAAAGTTAATATACCTGAAAAGACTAGACCACTGAATAATACAGAAGGCAAGAACGTCAAGACAAAGTTGGAGCGTGTTCAGTTTTCAGATTTTCAGATTATCATGGATTCTAAATTTGAAAATAGTAACAAAGACTTCAAGGAAGAATTGTGTCCTGGAAGTCTCATTAATATAGCAGATACAAGGCAACATAGTTCTGTACATTCAAATCAAGATAAAAACGATGATGACAATTTGTGCTAAATTTGTACATTGCATTTAAAATTCTTTTTAAAAAATAATTTGTAATAATGATTCATGAAATCTGAAAGCAAGCCTAGGAACTGCTCTCAAGTCTGTTACAAAGTCTAGTTTATGTAGCCGTGTGACACTCCTCAGTGCCTGTCCACAGCTGTCCACAGCTGTGAAGTAGTAAGCACTTAGGGCCCGGGCACTGTGATCCTTGCAGGTTAAGTGGGAAGGAGTCTGTAGAAAAGTCATGGCAGTTGGAGTTTTAGGTTTTAGAATGGAGCTGACAAAATCATTATAAATATATTTTTTGTAATATGAGCCAGAGTTCTTTTTTCACAATTTAAGGTTTTTTCATAGAGCTTATTTATACCGACCTTTTTTTTTTTCATTTTAAATGTGTCAGCACTGTAGTGTAAATAGCTTTAAAAAATCTTTTTAGTGTGATTTATATTGAAATGTGAGCCACTTAATAAAGGTTCATAATAATAAATGCTTCCTGTTGAGTTTGCAAAAACAAACTGACAATTCAGTTTAATTGTTTGATATAATTATGTTTCTGTTAATATATACATGTGGGGGAGGTAATGGAGGAAAAATGTATGTCTTCAAATCTAGTAAATATTTAAATTTTCCATACTGTACAAGCCTTCAAAAAACCAGGATTCAGTTATGTATATATAGTGTGTATGTGTGTATGTATACACACATGTGTTTGTATATGTATACACATATGTGTGCGTGTATTTGGGGATGTATATATGTATATTGTTTTGCACAATTTCTTAAATTGATGAATATATGAAAATTCTTAGTGCTACTTCCTGGAATACATCCTAAAATATTTATGTTCAACAATAAGAAAATAATTAGTAGTTTTAGAAGTTGGGAGAAACTAAGTATGTTGATGGTTTTAATCCTTCTAATTACTGAAGTTATGTGGCCAGATTTTTCAGCCCGAGTGTAATTTTCTTTATTGTGTAAGTAATAAGTTTAGAAAATTTTCTCTCTAATAAGCACTTATATGTTTAATAATAGCTGAGTAAAAAGTTGACATGCACAGAGTTTAATTATGAACAATTAAAGGTCTTCTTTTACATTTCCCACGTTACACAAATGAAATTTAAAACAAGCAGTGACAGTGACTGAGCCCCACCTTCAGATGTAGCTGACACACACTGTCAGTCCATCCTT